TGCACTTGTGCCATGACGGTTGGGTCATGAGGGTTGGGTGTTGCATGGATAACTTTTAAGTTTTAACCCTGGTTGCCATTGGTAAAAACTAACTGCAGCTACGCCACGCCATTACCAGCGGATGTGGGATCATGTGGCATCGATAACTTCACCCCCGGGTGGAATAACTAACTGCAGTCTTGCATCAGTAGTAAGTAACTAACCCCTGGTTTGTGTAGCTAACTGCAGCTTCGCCATGACCGCCGAGTCTTGCTCGATAACTTACCCCTGGTTTTCATAGCTACCTGCAGTTAAGCCACCGCAGTTGGGTGGGTGCTGGAGCGCTAGATATCTTAACCATTGATAACTTAACCGTTGGTTGGCCGCATAACTAAGTTAAAAACTAACCGTTGGTTGGCCGCATAACTAAGTTAAAAACTAACCGTTGGTTGGCATAACTAAGTCAAGCTAACCGTTGGTTGGCGTAAATAAGTTAAAAAGTTATTAAAACTAACCGTTGGTTGGCCGCTTAACTAAGTTTAAAACTAATTGTTGGTTGGCCGCTTAACTAAGTTTAAAATTAACTGTTGGTTGGCCGCGTAACTAAGTTAAAAACTAACCGTTGGTTGGCCGCATAACTAATTTTAAAACTAACCTAACTGTTGGTTGGCCGCTTAACTAAGTTAAAAACTAACCGCTGGTTGGCCGCATAACTAAGTTAAAAACTAACCGTTGGTTGGCCGCATAACTAAGTTAAAAACTAACTGTTGGTTGGCCGCATAACTAACTTTAAAACTAACCGCTGGTTGGCATAACTAAGTCAAAAACTGACCGTTGGTAACCGTTAGTTGGCATAACTAAGTTAAAAGCTAACTGCAGTTATGCCACTGCCACTGGGGTCCTGGCGTGAACCCCCACTTAAGTCAGCATCATGGTCTTCGTAAGTCTAGCGCCTCGGTGTCGACCTCAATGCCTCATGTCCTGCAGTTTCATTATTAAAAAAAAAAAAAAAAAAGCCCCAGGTTTTTTTTTCAAATTTTTTTCCATGTTGAAATTTCCTGCGAATCTTTCTTTTTTTTTTTTTTTTTTTTTTTTTTTAAAAATTGGGGCCCCTGGGGGGTTTTTTTTTTTTTTTTTTTTTTTTTTTTTTTGTCAAAAACGACATGCTCCAATCTATTCGCGGAGCATTTTTTGTTTTCCTTTCACAATAGACTTGGGAGACCCAGAGCTTTAAGGGGCCCTTTTTTTTTTTTTTTTTTTTTTTTTTTCGTTACGTGGGGCTCTCAGGAGTTTTTTTTTTTTTTTCAGAAACGACATGCTCCAATCTATTCGTGGGGAGCGGCACGTGCTGGGAACCGCGCCCAGCGTCCCTTTCAAGAACATAATGAGATTTTTTTTAATGCAGAAAACTTTGACGTACCGGGCCATTATCTGGCTTCAGCTAAGATTGCGACTCTCGGGAGTTTATTTTTTTCATCCATCTTCTGTCTGTCCTTGGTGAACCACCTCATGCGTGCACGGTGCCCCCCCCCTCTATTCTACTGAATCCAATCCAAGATGCTGTCATCTCTCCCCCTCTTTTATTTTCTTGCCTCGCGATAGGAAGATAACAAAAGCACAGTGTCCTTCGGGACATCCGTTAAAATTGGAACGATACAGAGAAGATTAGCATGGCCCCTGCGCAAGGATGACACGCATAAATCGAGAAATGGTCNGGGGGGGGGGGGGGGGGGGGGGGGGGGGGAAGGAGATTTTGCTTGGCTCTTTTAAGGTACACCCATCGTCCACCACCTGTCATCTTCTCCTTTCTCTGACCCTGTGTTGTTGAAGCTGGCTCCTCTCCTTTCTTTTTTTCTTTTTTCTTTTTTTTTTTAATTTTAAAAATTTGGACCATTTCTCGATTTATGCGTGTCATCCTTGCGCAGGGGCCATGCTAATCTTCTCTGTATCGTTCCAATTTTAACGGATATCCCGAAGGACTGGCTCCTCTCCTTTCTCTCAACTCTTCTGGCCACTTTCACTGTGATGCTGAAAGCTGCCTATCCTCAAAGAAAATGCGTGGGCGTCTTCCTCTGCGAATTATC